GACTCAGACCCAGGCATTTGATTCTCTGGTATAGGCTCTTGACTACTGTGCTGACCTTCTTTTTCTCCAAATCAGTGAGTTATTAAGAGCATCACAAGCTTTGGATGCATTTATTATAGAGCCTCAGTATACCTAGTCAGTGTCAGTGTGATCACATACACACAGAAACAGGGGCAAGTGGCCAAGGACTACTTCTAAAAAGTTAGTGCAGAGCTGAAATAGCTAGAAAAATTACTATGGCATCAGAAGTTCAGCCATTCATTCCCATTCGCCATTTTAAAGGCACAGTTGGTATTTGTTTCTGGCCACTTGTTTTAGACTTAACACCAGAGAATCCCTCTGATGCTTGGCAGGATGGAATGAAAATGCTGGGTGGTGATGCTATCACAGCCACGTTGAAAGTATTAAAAAAAAGATTCCCATTGCTTGAGTAAGGACCTAGAGCAGAAAATGCTGATAAGAGGTTAATAGTAAGCTTTAACCTGGAGAATTATATTGACCTCCCACTTCTCCCATTGTCATCTATGCAAGTCTTTTTTTTTTTTTTTTTTCTTTTTTGTGCTGAGTCTGTTGAGGACCTCTCTGCTTTGTTCTGATGTTTTATAGAGCAGAGACCTGCTTTTTAAAATATGCATTTCTTCATCAAGGTGTTTTATTGTTCTCCATGAAAAACCAACATCAATCCAACCGTTGAGCCTGTGTCACCAAATGTAAATATTTCATCCTGGGAGCAGAGTGGAGATTTTCACCCTGAGTCTCATGGGTTGTTCAGTTTAAAGGGTTTGGATTTGTGGAGTGGAGCTGTGGCAGGGACAGGGATTCATTCCAGCAGAGGCTGGTGGAGTTATGGAAGGGCTGGTTGGACTATTCATTGTACTGGCCACTGGTCCTTGAGCCAGGGTCTCTCCTCTCAACCCTTTTGTTTGTCCTCATGCTTCATGTGATGGTTAATGTTTTGTGTCAACTTGTTGTTGTTGTTGTTGTTGTTTTTTGCCGTCGAGTTGGCCCCGACTCATAGTGACCCCTCCTTGGGTTTCCGAGGCAGTATCACTACGGAACTTGGTAGGCTATAATTCTCAGTGGTTTGGCAGATCCTTTCCATTTTGTCATCTGATGAGAGTAGCCAATCAATTGAAAGAGAAGTTTCCTTGGAGGGTGTAGGTTGCTTTCAGTGTATAAATGGATGTTCTGGCAAAGTGCACTCTTTCTTGACCGGGCACTCTTTTCATTGCCTGACCTCCTATTCTTGGGAAGTAAGCTTGCAGAAGTCTCCAGCCTGCCACTTCACTTGCAGATTTTGGGTTCATCAATCCTTGCAACCATGTGAGACAGCAGAGGTCTTCAACCTGTTACCTTACCCGTAGATTGCCAGCCCCCACAATTGTGTGACCCATTTCCTTTAAGTAAATCTCTCTCTATATATATGTATCTTCTGTCTATATATGCTTCACTGGTTTTACTCCTCCAGAGAACCCAGACTAAGATAGTTCCTACTACCAATTTTCAACAGAAATTAAATGTGAAAGTAAAGTAAGACCTTTGAAATACATTGAAAGCTTAGTGCAATAGGAGAAGATAGGGCTTGAGTTAGTGGACCTATGCTCATATCATGGCTCTGCTACCAGCTATCTGTGCCTTCTTGGGACATTTTCTGTTCATTACCTGGCTCTCCTACATCTGTGCAACGAAGATAGCAATGCCTAGGTCATGGGATTGCCATAAGAAGTACAGCAACAAAGATGCTTTGTATAAAGCCCTGAGATTTATTTATATATTGATTGCTCAATAGATGGAGTTATTATTAACCTCAAAGAAAATATGCTAGAAGATAAAATGTTGTTGTTGTTATGTGCCATCGAGTCGGCCCCGACTCATAGCGACCCCTCCTTGGGTTTCCGAGGCAGTATCACTACAGAAGTAGGATT